GCCTGCCCTCTTCCCTTCCCATCCTTGGGGCCGGGCCGTGCTGTGGTATCTGCCCATGGGGCTCCCCAGGAGCCAGCCGGGAACGGTGACGGGAAAGACAGTGTCCTCCCCCCTGCCAGCTCGCCAAGCAGCGAGCCCGCATCTCTTAGAGCCAGCCTGCGTCTCCCCCTTCCCTTCTGTGGGGCCAGGCCCTCTTCTTCCCCACAAGGCCAGGCAAGCCCCCTTTCTTCCTGTCAGGCTAGGTCATGCCCCTTTCCTCCCACTTAGTTGGCCAGGGTGAAACCCCTGTGCCCTTCTGCGGGGCTGGGCTCAGGCAGGGCTGCCCCTGCCCCCTCTGCATGGCTGGGTGGTGGCTGTCAAGCCGAGCCAGGGCCCGGGCGTTGGATTGAAACCACCATCTGGCCAGCTGGCAGGCCAGGCACTGCCCATCTGGCCTGCCAGGCAAAAAGGTCTGTGCCCTTATAAACGTTTTCTCCAAGGGGACCTCAGCAATGAGGGAACCCAGCTGCAATGTTCAGATTTTAAATCGCAGCTCTTTGTCTGGTGGTGAGGAAAACTTCTGAAATTGGAGTAGGAAAATTGAAACATCGCTTGGGCCAGATACAAGGATCTGGTGGAAATGATTCCCCTCAGTCTTTCCTCCAGAATTTTTTTCTCCTCTGACCTTCCTAGACTTCAGGTGAACAAGATCTTAAGTTGTGTGCTGAACCTTACTCAGTGAAATCCTTCTTCATCAGTGCTGGAAATCTTGATCCTTAAACACTGTAGCAATAGGCTCCCTTGTTCTGAAAGACATCCCCAGCAAGTGGGTTTCTGTACGGTTCTGCATTGGTGGAGGGGGGTTGCCCTTGCAGAGTAGCATGCAGGATCTGGGTATTAGGCACTGACATTAATGTGCCAGTGAGGGACAGCCACTCAAAAAGCAGGTATCAGTGCCTTTTGTTTGAGACTCGAGAGGTGCATCCAGATGTGCGTGGACGTTTGGTTCCCTGGGGACAAGTAGTGTGCTGCCACTTCTTGTCCCTCAGGAACGCCCATGCCACAAGTGCTTTGGCACGCAGCAAATTACCCTGGATGAGGTAGGGGAGCTGGCCCCAGCAGCCTTACCTGGGGTCTTTGGGGCCTCCTGGGGCTGCAGCCAGTGAGATTCTGCCGTGCAGAGCCTGGCTGGCAGCAGAGCATGACTCTGGGCAGGCCATCTCCGCTTTTCAGCAGCACACACTGGCTGTGTGTCCATTGCTCCGGTTTTTTCCCCCCCACTTTTTTTTTTTTTTTTTAAATCTCTGGATATCCAGGGGTCGGGCTCAGGCAGTGTACCCTTGCAGCGCGGAGAACACCAGGCTGTATGGTATGTGGCGCTGCAAACATGTTTGCAGCGCCACATACTGCACGGCCATGCTTGTCTGGATGTGCCCGAGGAGAGCAAGACGTGTTATGCATGTGTAGGAAGAGTTTTGCAGACACCTTTGACCTTTGGTGGCTTTTAACTTTTTTTTTAAAACTCTAGCTCCTGAAGGCTTGTAACTATTTGAGAGTAAGGGAATATGAGCTGCTTTATTTTTGTAAAATATTTTGTAAAAGTGTGTTTCTAGTTCTCATGGGGGAAGGAGGGCAGGAAGGGAGGCAGAATACAAACTCTAATCATTGCTGTGCCCGTTTCCCTCCTCGCACCTGATGAAGAATGCCTTGCATTTGAAACCTTGTCTAACTTTGTCCTAACTGTGCAGTTGGTCCAATAAAAGATATAATTCCCCAAAATCCTGAACTCTGAAGCATCACTAGTATATCCAGAAATCTCAAAAACCAACCGACAAATAAAAAAACCTCTCTGAAATACATTATTTAAAAAAAAAAAAAAAATCTCATGTTTTTTAAGCCAATCTTGTGATTTTGGAGGACCTGACATTTTTTTTAATGCCTAGGTTGGCGTTGCTTTTTAATGAAGCTTCACATCAGCTATACCAGGGCATCAAACATACGGGCTGTGAAGACAAGGATTTTTTTTTCCATTCAACATGAATTGAGTATGGGGCTGCTCCAGCAGGGAGCTTTAGCGAAGCAGCAGTGTCCCCAGCAGATCTGGGTGCAGGGAGAGCCCCAGAACTGCTTTTGACCTGTTCCTGCCTTGCACTGCAAGGAGCAGCTTCGTGGGGAGCCTGGTTCAGCCAGAAGTGGTGCCATGTATGTTCCCCCTTTCAGCATCTGCTCCATGTTCATTTGGGATTTGAGTACTGGCCTCAAGCAGGCTGATGCTGCAACACTGGAGCCAGAGCCTCTGCCTGTCCTCTGCTGGGGCCAGGGTTGTCTGTATGGCAGGGAGATTATGTGGTACATGTCAAGTGGGGTATGCAGCAGGGGAAGCGTAGAAGAGAAGGCGTGGTGCCAGGGGGAAGTGCAAGGGACACTGCACAGCAGCAGGGAAGTTGCTGTGGCTTTGTCTCTGGCCCCTCCCTGGGCCTGTGGCCAGTCGCAGTTGCCACCACCTCCAACCCGGGGCTGGGCCTGTTGCTGCTGCCAGTTTCTGCCTGGACGGGGGCCAGAGCCACTGCATACAGTAATTGGCAGTTGTGGGGAGGACAGGTGGCATGGGGGAAAACATCAGTGGGAGGGGCAGGGCCTGCTTTTCCCACTGTAGCAGTGGAGGGGGGATGGACAAATTTAAGATGAATCTGTAGTAATTAGACTCTAGAGCTGGAAAATTACAGTATTTACCCAAATTCAAGACTATTCTGAATTTAAGACAACCCCCAATAATAAGATTCTACACATTCTATTCAGTTATAACAAATATATAATTTTCCATGTTTAGAATCTAATTATTTACATTAGGAATGTAAATATTGTTTAAAAACATATTTGTTTGACCTCCTCTAATTATATTGGTTAAACAGTTAACCCATAACACAGCAGTTTGGACACAGCTGCTGCTGGGAGCTGCTCCTGGTGCCCTTTGACTAGGGGGAGAATGCAATGCCTATGCAAAGCCCTGTGCTGGGAGGGAGGGAGCACCTCTGAATCAGCAGATATTTGCTTAATTGATGAGTCATCATTAGATTGTTCCCTGTTTTCCTGTTAGGCGAGGGGTACTAGTTCCCCTCCTCCCTCTTGTTTCCTTATGATTTCTGTCCGGGCACCGAGTGGCTTCCCTTCCCTGCCTGACTGTGCCCTCCTGAAGTTAAAGGATAACTAGTAAGCTAACCAGCTATCACTACAGTTGGCGGTTAAACGATCAATTGTTTAGTCTTTCACATCCCTAATGTGAAGTCACCTTGGATTCCGATAAATATGATAAATACTTTTTAAAGCATTAAATACCTAAATATTAAACACCTTCAAATATTAAACTTTCTGGGGTTTTGGTTGCAGTTCTAACTGAAAAATCCCCATCCTAGGAGGGTGCTACCATACTCAGTCAGGGGACAAGGAGAAGGAAGGAGTTTCCTTCTGGATGTCCAGGAGAAACTTTGTCATTGGTTGTCACTGCGGAGGTTGCACTGCCCACCGTTCATAGGTTGCTGCCATTGCTTTGGGGAGCACTGCCTTTTGGGACGGTCACTTATGGTTGCTACTGCTCAGGCTGCTGCCTCTCCGCTGTTTTGGGGAGCACTACTGGAGTCTCAACAGCCAGTGCCACTCTGTAAGCACCACTATGGTCTCCACTGCCCTTTTTGTGCTAAGAGTTGCTGCTGAATGCACCCCCTCTGGAGATTTCAGTTACTGATCTTGCTAATAAGGTAGCTTCAGCTGTCTGTTACTAGCAAGGGTTTTACCAGCTCAGAGAAAATATCCTCAACAAGGGACTCCACTCTGGAGTCTCTCCAGGCCCTCACCCTTTAAAATAAATAACATTCAGGTCACCCCACTGCTGGTCTCGGCTCAGGTCACAGTGAGTGCCAACCTCCCTGTGACCCCCCATATGACTGTCTCTTTCAGGCTGTGTGCGCTTTCCATATGAAAACTGGAGGACATTATAGTGACACAGAGATCTGGCTAGTGACATAAAGATTTGTCTCCCTTCTTGTCGTCTTGCATTTAATTTTTTAAGGCACAAATCCGGGATTAGGCACAAATAAGCCTGTAACCTTTTGAACCTGCATACTGAATGAGGGTATGCAAATTTCAGAACATTTGCAATAGATCGCAT